CTGTAACCAAAAATTCATGTGCTGTGCTTCCTATTCTGATGTAGGTTTCATGCACAATCATTCCTAAATCCAGAAAAATAGTTCACCTGAATGCACGATATACTAAATATAATGGACTGTACTGTTCAGTAGAAAATGCTTGCCAACTCTAACGGGCTTTAGCTCATCAAAGACACCAGTGTATATTTAAATTTGTAGTACTGTGTATTCTAAAGATAGAACTGACTCCTCTTAATTGGTGTGGTTACAAGAGGGCGGGATAAGACAAAACCAGGCTACAAGAACATGTGCTGAGGTGGTAAGAAGAAAAGAGGTCAGAAAACCCCTGGCCGGCATCCAGTAAGTGTAGCTGTGGTAGCGCAAACATGGCTGTCCTGCTTTTGAGCACGGGCTCGCTCATACAGAGCCGCTTCAAGTGTCTGTACACACACCACAATTAATCCGCCCGCCCGAGTTAACTGTGTGGATTGCATTTTGAATACCAGGAGGAGGGTGAGCTCTCTTGCCAATTGCTTCATGAAGTAAGAGATTTGAATGCTGCTTTATCGTAAGTGATACCGTACTCTGAACCTCCCCCAATTCTTTTCATATTTTAACATAACTTCATTTCATTAGTGTGAAATTCTTCACTACTCAAGATAGTAAAACCCCGGTGACATAGTCTGTACTTTAAAGAGCCTGCAGTCTGGTCTCTTCAAACCCAGTAAAGAAAGCCCTTATTTTCCAATAAAATGTACAATTGGACCAAAATTACTATTTTAACATTAAGATTCCACCTTAGATCGTCACGTTACAACCAATTTTAGTGAAAACTGTATATAACACAAATTGATCCTTGCTATGTAGTTGATACCTGTAAGTGTGAAGGCCTTTTGTAAGATGTCTCCCAGTTATAGCATAACTTGTACAGAAAAGACATATGAAGCTTAATGCTAAGTTAGACTTCTGATGTGAGCATCACTTGTAATTTTTTTCCTTGAACAGTAACAGTAGCTGATTATATATCACGAGCTGAATCTCAAAGTAGACAGAGAAACCCTCCAAAGGAGACACTAGCAAAAACCAAGAAAGAAACGGTAAGATTTTTTTTTAATGTATGGGTTTGTTTTTTTTCCTCTTCCCTTGCAGCAGAACAGTAAAGGGGTGCTTCATTTGGATTGCTCTTATTTGACTACAAATGCATTTGAGTTCAAGAATAAATTATTAAAAGGAAAAATGGCCCAGAGTAAACAGAACTGGCATCGACTTGTAGACTGTCATTGCAGACTTTAGTCACCAAGTGTAATGTTCAAATTAAGTCCTTACGCATTTCAAAACATTACGCTTTCTAATGTAGCATGAAAACTATCCGTGGATGAGTCTTGAGAACTAATCCTTAAAACTCTTTATAAAGAGAGGATACTAGGTAGCGTGTTTAGTGACTTGTACAAAGAAATTATTTTAGAAGAACTAATGTTACAAAGATTGTAGATTTGAGATCTGTTCTCCTTAAAGGATCAGAGTAGCATTACATATCTTAAAAAAAGAATATTCAGAACTGAATAAAGCAGAAATCCTTTACTTCTAAAGTAACATTGAACTTACTGCTACAAGTTAGGTCTGAGTTTAGCAAAATAAGAAAGATCCACTGCTATATGACTGACAAAATCTAATCTTACTGTAGACTTTGAGAGGGGTGTAAAACTCAGCTTTTCAGTCAACTTCTTCATTGGCTTAGAAAAATTGAAATGGTGAAGTAAAACATTCTGGGCATGCCATCCCAAGGTTACCTTGACACGATTCCCTCAGCAGCGCCTGACAGGGAAGTACCCCAGCGGGGACAAGGCAAGTAGCAGGATGCTGCGACAGACAGGATACTGGCGCAGGCAGCCAAGAGGCCTTTCCTATTGCAAAGCTGCTGTGTGAGCCAGAGAGAAATTTGGATTACGCTCTGTATGCTTTTACGGGATTTTTAATATTTTCCTCGTTTTCTTTTTGCAAGGCAAAAGATGCGATTGATGAAAACTGCCCTTCCGAAAAGGCAGTGAATGGTCCTGCTACAACTTCTGGGGATGAGCCTTCTAAAGTACAGCACAGTCCTGATGAAAAGAAAGTCACTGTTCAAGAGGATGGAAATAATCAGGAAGAAGCAGTGCTGAATGGTGTTTCATAAACTGAAGTTCCTAGTTTACAGTTCTTCTACATTACATTTAAAATAGTGCTTGTATAAGCTTGCCAAAGATAGAATATGGATCGCCAGTCTTGACACCGCACTTTCAGTTCCTCCATTTTGGAATACAGAAAGGGGAGGGATCCTGAAGAAATCATATGTTAAACATACTTTGACACCTACTGTGTTATAAATATATCATCAGATGTGCCTTGAGATAGTATATGTAACATTTAAATAAACAAAATTGCTGGCTATAGGAAATGTTATTTTGTTTTCAAAATATGGCAAAGATGTGAGGGGGATCCCTAACATAATACTCTTTATGAAAGCATTAGCTGCTTTTGTTACATTTTTAATAATATGCAACCACTTCTTCACCTGAGGAATACTAGAAAGAAATGCAGTCTAAAATATTTTGCACTGAAATGTAATTTCTCCATTAGTTTAGTCTGGAAACTGGTCTGTTTTAATACATGTTTTTTAAATGCTGTATGTAGAGGAAAAATCTGCAGACCACTGGAATACATTTGTTAAATTCTCATAATCTGCAGGGATACTGGGTGACATTGGCAGTGACTGTTCTACATTGAGGCTTTGTTTGGTTTATTTATTAAACTGTACAGTATTTAAAAATCAAACATAGCTTTAGTTAACACTAAGCTGAATTAGTCATGTCCATTAAGACATAACCTGAACTACTGAAGAGATCAATTTCCAGAAAGTTTATTCTGTATAAACTACATATGTTAGTCCTTAGTAGAGTATTTTTATTTTTGTTTTGGTTGTTTGATGTGCAATATGTTTTTTTTGTATGCTGGTAGTAAAAAAAAAAAATAAACTTTGATCTTCCATCTGTTGACTGTTTCTATCAAATTTAAATTACTATTGACTTTAAGGTTTTCAAGCTGTTAACACTAACCATTGAAACTTACTTGCAAGGCAGCTTGAACCTTTAACTCTTTTCTAAGAGTTTTCTAACATGCTAATCTTCCGTTCTTTAAGGGGATGATGTAAAACATCCGTTAACAAGTCTAAAAAAAACAGACTTCTTTGAGAATCACCTAACTGACTAACATATATAGGGATTAATGCAGATGTAGCTTCTAATTGAGAACTCGGCAGCGTGACACACTAACCCATCTTTTCAGGTGTCAGAGCAAGGAAGCAGAAAACACAGGTGTGGGAAAACGCGGGTAGGAAGATGACGTGAGAAGTCAGAGCAAAGGGGTAATACTGCAGTTGTGCTGACTTGAAAGAAAAAAATTCTGCCTTACCTGATTTCCTCAGAAGTGAGTGAGGACAAGCCCAAGTATTCTGCACCGCCTGGGACTCCAGCTGCTGTACCTGATACAGCTAGAGAAGAGCTGTACCAGCTAGGTTGGGGCATGTCTTTCACTTAAGTCATATTAAAAACTGCCCCTCGCCTTAAGTGCTGACACTCATCGACAGTGTTCCCTCCTGGAGAACAAGCAGTTAAGTTGTCACAGCTGCAGCATGCACAAGCATCTCGGCTGCTAAGGCAGCCACAAGAGTGGAGAACATTTAAAAAACAGGGAAGGGAAAAAAAAAAAGCTATGTTTAAAAAGCGGGTATTATTTGGCAGAGAAAAACAAGTACAGTAACGTTCTGCCTATGGCTTGAAATACGCGTACGCTGGACCAGTGTTCCAGCTGGTTTTTCACCCCACTTTAAAATCTGTAGTAAAGCGAAGTTATCCCTCTCTCTGCATAGGTTCTGAACGTGTTCCAGTTCCTACTCCTGTTACTGATTTGATCCTCTCTTCCTTAACTGTTGTTCTGGCCTATAACTCCTTACAGAAATGCAGCTACGTAGCAGCCATCGTTCACGCAGAGGACGCAAGATGACTTGCACTGCTCTGAAGTAGAGGCTGGTTAGTCCTGGAGGCATGAAAGCTCTGATACCCATTGTATTTATGAACAGGTGAGTGCTAACTGTCACATGTGGTTTTACCGTAGCTGCGGAGAGACTGGCACGAGTCTTGGAGCCCGACACAGCTCTCGGGCCCCAATGCCGATACTTACAGAGACATCTGCTGTGGGGCTCCGGGCAGCCTGACCGCTCCAGCTCAGGTGTCCTCAATGGCTCACGTAAAGAGTTCCCCTTTCCTAACTGCTATTAATGCAAACCTCATTACGTGAATTCTAACTTTGTAGTGTAAGATAATGTCTAAAATTACAGTACTTACATTACAAATGGCAAATTTATTAAATGCTATAAAATCCATTAAAAACTGGAAGTTACTAAAAAAACCTGGGACATTCCAGACCCATCGGTAACACTCAAGAAGCTCAGCCAACCTTGTTTTTCACAAGGCAAGGACAACGGAGTACGTTATTTCCTATACTTTATTTCTTCAGTCAGAGACAACCACACATCTGTCCCAATTCTTCCCCTCAAATAAATCCTCCTGATTTTTTCCACGCCCTCCCCAACCCAGTCCCTCACGCTAACTTTGGCATACGAAAGAGCAGCAGCATGAACTTTAAACATCGCTAGTTTAACAGAAATTAGGTAGCAGCACATAAGTCTACCTGTATCTGGTAACATGCATTGGCCAAACCCAGTTATTACTCTTTTACACTGAAAATATTTGAGTGGCAGATTTTGCTGCTTAATAAACAACAGCTATGAAAAAAACGTCAAACCTCACTCCCTCACACGTTTTCCCAAAAAGTGACTAAGAAGTGAGTGGGGAAGGAAGGACCTCCCTGGATTTGTATTTCCAGCTTCATTCATATTGGGTCAAAGACTGACATTAGAACTTCCCTTAAGCCAGTTACCAAAAATAATCATTTGCATGGACAAACCCTCTGATTTTCTCTCTCAGTCATTTTTTAGCTTGGTCTTCCAGCAAATCTTTAGCTTCATTGATTTTGGCTGCTACATACGGAGAGCCACCTAGAAGAAAAATAACCTCATGTCACGTCAGATGAAAGAAGTCAGATGAAAAACTTTGTGTTGTTAATAACGCCACAGTACACGGGAAAGAAGTGAGGGTATGGTCTGGAAGTCACTCAGAGAACGAACTGCAGTATGACTGAAGCCATACAAGCTTACGCATACAGTCGCTGCAGGGGCTAAGTGTGCCGACAGCTCATTCCTCTTGGGTTCCTTTTCGTTTATTGGAGCGGGGTTTGTTTCTCCAGTTTTATCAGTCATAAATGAATTGGTCACTAATGACTTAGCATGAAGTTTGTTGTGAATACAGAAGCGTTAAACTAACAAGTCTGCAGATAAACTCCCCCCCAGCTCAAGGCCAGCACATGAACTGCTGCTGTACCAACGGCCTAGTGCAGTTTTTAAACATGACCTACAAGTGACTTGCGAAGGTACGCAAAACAGAATCCACAATGCAAATGCACTGCAATTGTAACTGACGGTGAGGTGCAAAGGTCTGTAGCGTGTATGCCATTCACTAGCATTAGAATCACTCTATTTACGTGCAGCTTAGTTTATTTAGGTCACGTAAAACATGTGAAATGCTCCTAGCAGTCTTTCAGGTTCTGGATGCATTCAATAAGGTTAATTCTGATGTTAACTTCTGCTAGATACTATCTACAAAAGGCAAAGGCGTATCCCAAGGATTATTTTGGATTTTGGTGCATAAAAGTAATGAAGTTCAACAGTCACTTTACAGGAAGCCGTTTTACCTTTTAAGTGAGGATTAAAAAGTTAAATGCCAAGCACTAACACCTGATTCCGACTCACTGAAGTAAACAGTATTTAGAACAGGTACAGATGCACCTCGGGTTATGAACCTTCCGCATAACTAGATTCTGAGCCTTCCGCGTACCACAGACAGAAACACTGCGCAGTTCAGCGTCTCCAACAGAAGCAGAAGGCTCAATACCCACCACTCGTGGTGAATTCCCAGTGCACTCAAATGAACTCGCGCTCACGTGGTACATAACGCGCACCAATAGACCCTGGTCTTTCATCTCAAATTACGGCGATTTTAAGTCTCACTTTAACAAATCATATGGGCAGAAGACAGAGCAAGTAACAAGCTGACCGGCTGAATCTGTCCGCTTGCTTTAGAGCATTCAAACGCAAAAATATGCTCCAAAACCATAAGGATTAAGGCACCCTAAAACTTGTTTTCACTCGGCGTTTTCTGCGTTTTTTTCAGTAGCTGAGGTAGTCATATGTCAGTCACTTCCCCCCTACGCACTTCTATTAATCCGTGTTAGAAACATGTATTAATTAGTCAGTGTGACTTAATTTACTTAACCTTTATCTGGATGATTCAGAAGCATGATCCGTCTATGGGCTTCTCGAATTTTACTTCTGTTGGCTGTAGGGCTTTAAAAGAGAGAGAAAAACTGACTTAAGGGAGCCTCCCCAAATCCCCCAGATCTTTAAAAGATGTCTTAGAGCAAGCAAGCGCTCTGTCTTATCCATAAACTCTCCGGCTTACACGTATGTTTTTCTTTTCCTGTTACTGATGTGTAGCGTGTAAGCCCTGGAGAGGGTTTCTAAGGTTTTCCAAAAGACTGTATGCTGAAGAAGACAGGCTATGGCACTCTAATATGGTGGGGGACATGCACATGGTTGAAAACAAATATAACTACGTTGTAACATTTTTACTGGGACAACTCCCTAAAGGCTGGAGGCAGAGAAATGAAAGAAAATTTGCTCTTGATTGATTTAAAAAAAACAACCAACCAACAAACTGTTTGTATGCAAACTTCACAGTTGGAAGCTGCCTTCAAACAGAACTGGTTCCTATTCCGTATCTTATTAGATACATTTGTGTATTTGGTCTTAAGTCTCTGTAAGTTTTGGCAGGGATAGTTACCATATATCTCGGATGTTCTAGAATAAGTGATGAATTTAGTCCACGTGCAAGAACTGGGTTTGCAGCACCTTCATACTGCGTCTACCTGACATTCACCAGCAGCAAAGGAACCACAAGCAAGCAGCACAGCTGTGTTCCCCGCACCGAGTAAACCCCAAAGCTGTTGAAAACGGTGCATTTCCCTGGCCCTGTACGTGGCTTTTGAATGTGCCAGGGATTTGCAGATGTAGGGAAGTCCAGCTAGAGTTCGCTTTAAGCAAGCTAACATGCAGCAGCAGAGAGTCCCAAATAAGTACAGAAAATCCTGGAAGGCTGCTTCATGCTCCCTGACGTGGCAGTGACATTCCCAGGAGAAGCTGGGCATAGGACAGTCTTTAGCACTGAGAATTATGTCCTTTTCAACCCAGGCCAGCAACTAGGTAACACCGTAGCCTCCGTTTTACCTTTCATGTCTAATAAGTTTCCTTTTACCTCACTCCTAGTATTAAGGCTGCTTCTCGTTTAGTCATCTTGGGCTCAAATCCACCTCTGTAATAACCACTGAAGGCCTGAAAGAGAAAACATGTTAAAAACCCACTGATTTTTAAGTTTAACTTTATCAGTTAAAACAGCTCACTATTGCTTTAGTAGCTGCTGAGCTTTCAGTCTGTAAGAATACTGCAAAGCTCCTTTTGCGCTTGCAATAAGAAATGCAGTTGAAGTAGCGTATCGTTATTTACGTGAGTACTTAAACGTGCCAAAACAAGTTCTCTACTAGTCAACCACCACCAGAATCACTGGGGTTAATTCTGTTATTACTGGCAAAGTTATGCTCAGTATTAGAAGAAAATACGGCAATGCTATACAGAGACAACAGTCTGTAGTTGTTTCACCAAGTAAACTTTTAAATAAGAAGATGCTACTGATAAAGCAAAAACTTACAGGTTTTGGTAGATTCTGAAGTGCTTGTTTTACTTGGGGCTCCATTTGCTTCATAGCTTTTAGCGCATAGCGGCCTTAAAGAAATCAGCGTTGAACAAGGCTAAGTATAAAGTTTCATGAAGATTTAGCAATTCAGTGCAACTGGTCACTTGTGGATTAGAAAGTGGAACAAACTTTTGGGGGGCACAAAAAAGTTAAGGGCTTCGATTTTGTGTTTAATTACAGCCACGTTTCTCAATACAGGCTCTCCCCAAAGCGTCTCCTGTATCGGCTATTAAACCACCAGCACTGAAACGGGCCACGACAAGTACCTCAGTGGCCTCCCACCATCCACGAACCTGCAAATCCCGCTGCCGCTATGGTCAGCCCAACCGCCACCATCGTGCTGGCCTGCACAGGGAAGACATACAAGTACCTGTTTACCAAAGGCGAAGAAAAAAAAAAGCCCACCGGCAACCTCAACGGCGGGCCGGGCTGGCGCAGGGGCCGACAGCACCGCGCCGG